ATAAAACAATACAATTTTCATGAAAGCATTTAAAATGCTGACTCAATATTAAAAAAGCAGTAGCTAATAATGCCACTCTGGAGCCTAAGCCCAATTAAGCCCCAAAGGCCCAGACATATAAATGAGTCAAGATTTCGCCTAAAAGGGGGATCAAAGCTGGTTCTTCCTCCCTTTTATCTTCCCAATAACCCTGTGAGGTAGGCTGGGCGGGAACAGCAATGCAAGCATCTGAGGTCCTGAGCCCTTGGGGTCCCTTCTAACTCTACAATTCCCTGATTCTATGGAAATCCTGCCCAGAGGCTTTGCCCGTACGCTGTCAAGGCCAGTTCCGAAACTATTAGACCGAGAACTTTTGTGATGTGCAGAACAGAAGACTAAAACGAGAGCTCAGAATGCCAAAGTTCCCCTGCCGCCAAGGGTAAGTGTGCCTCAGTTACACTGAAAGGCAAACAATTGCCTCTTCCTTTGCTGTCATCGCCCTCAAGCTGCCATATGCTGGGCTTCCCCCTTTGTGAAAAGAAAACCCCTTCCCAATGTTTCTTCACATTCTTTGCTAAGAGAGTTGGCCTTGGGGGCTTAGCCATTTCCAAACCTCACGCGGCTTTCACTTGTACTGGTCTTCCAAACTCAGAAGTCATCACACAGAGAAGCATCCCTGAAGAAGCGTCTCCACGCCCATCGTTCAACACAGACACTGAGGTCCAGCGCCGAGGGCCTTCTGGCGGTTCCCTCATTGCGAGAAGCAAAGCCACAGGGAACCAGGCAGAGGGCCTTCTCGGTGGTGGCACCCGCCCTGTGGAACGCCCTCCCATCAGATGTCAAGGAAATAAACAACTATCTGACATTTAGAAGACATCTGAAGGCAGCCCTGTTTAGGGAAGTTTTTAATGACTGATGTTTTAATGCATTTTTAATTTTTTGTTGGAAGCTGCCCAGAGTGGCTGGGGAAACCCAGCCAGATGGGCAGGGTATAAGTAATAAATTATTATTATTATTATTATTATTATTATTATTATTATTATTATTATTATTATTATTACTATTATTATTATTATTATCATCATCCCATTGCCTCCTTTTTACTCTGGCCACAAATTTAGAAATTAAATGTTTATTCCCTTTCTTGTCCATTGCTCCACCACATTACTTTTTTAATTTCAAGGGAGCAAAATCATAAAACTGAAGAGAAGGGAGGCATTCACAGCTCCCACACCATATCTGAAGCACTCATGACAGAACACTTACTGGCAAATCTTGAAATCCTCTGGACCAGGAGATATCACTGTGTTCTCCACCCTAACCACACCCTCCCCATTTGTCTGCAGATAACTCTAGCTAGGACACATCATGCGCCACAGCTTTCCTTAGCTTTTGAGGGGTATCTACATGGTGACAACAGTTAAGTGCTATGCCCCCCCCACCTGACAGATCCATACTGAATATTTACGCCCATGGAAACAGCAGGGGTTGGGGAGTGAGAATGTGGTCCTTCTCACACAGGGCAAACTCTGCTGGAGGGAGATAGCTGGAGAAAAGACTGTATAAATTGCACAGTAAAGCATTCCCAGTGAAGAAACTGTTCTGGCCCCCCGTTAGCAACCCTACTGACGCCATCACAGCGCTTGAAGAGTTGTGCCTCGGAGCCAGTCTTTTACTCATTGACTGCTGTCAACGAGGCTTCTCTAGCTGAGCCAGGGGAGGAGGGAACATAAAAGCCTGCTGGATCAGGCCAATGGCCCATCCAGTCCAGGATCCTGTTCTCACAGTGGCCAAACCAGATGCCTGCAGGAAGCCTACAAGAAGAATTCGAGCACAAGAGCTCTCGGCCCTCCTGCAGGTTCCAGCAACTGGTATTCAGAAGTATTGCTGCGTCCAACTGTGGAGGCACAGCAGAGCCATCATGCCTAGCCGCCTTCAATAGCCCTCTCCTCCATGAATCTGTCCGCTCCTGTTGAAGCCAGAAAAGAATCTTCGCCTTTCAGCTTCTCCTCTTAGAACATGCAGCTGTTAGGCTTGTTCTCTCCAGCCTAATATTTGTGGAGTCGGTGTTTTATGGGAGAGGTGCAGCACGATATCCAAGCACCCCCAAATCAAACCAAGGATTCTCCTAAGAGGTCGGCAACCTAAGGCCCATGGGCCGGAAGCGGCCCCTGAGGGTCGCTTAATTGGCCCATGAGCCACCCCCAAATCGAGCCGCCCGCTCGGCGAGTCCCCATGCCCTGTGCTAAACCGGCGTGGCGACTCTCTTCTGCAGTTCCAGAAATCGCTTCTGTGCATGCCCAGATGCCGAAAATCACATCTGCGCATGTCCGCGGTGCCGGAAATCATGCCTGCGCATGCCCAGACGCCTAAAATCACTTCTGCGCAGGCGCGATTTCCGGTGTCTTGGCATGCACAGAAACGATTTCCAGTACCATGGACATGTGCAGGCGCGATTTCCAGCGTCGCGCTGTGCTGGCCCGGCCCACGGAGGATCTCTGCAGGAGTGATCCAGCCCCTGCCCGGTAAGCCTTGCCGATCCCTGTCCTAAGAGATCACAGTGAATGACTGCTTTCCAGCTCTCTACTGTCCAATCCTTCCCTTCCTTTATACACCATCACCAGTTCTCAAAAGTTCTTTTGTGTAGGATTTGCCTTTCAAGCTGAGCTCTTGCTGAGACAGCTCCCAGCCCTGAGCAAGGCAGCCAACACTGCTACCCAAGGCTTCACAGCTTCTCTTTCCTCAAATGCCGGCCTGAGCTGCTGCTGTGCTGCTCCTCATCCCCATTTCTTCCTCCTTCCAGTCAGACACCTGGTCTTTTCCTCCCCTCAGCCTTAACATGCAACTGCCAAAGCAGATTGGAAGGGCGGAAGAAGAACAATTTCCCTGTCCCTCTGGCTCAGAATGAACTCCAGGGGGTTCCTTTTAATGCTATGTTTGACCCTCTTGTCCCAACCCCAAGTTGGCTTGGGGAAAGGAAAAAAACAAGTCTCCTGGTAAATACTGTGCCAGCCTTGGTAGCCAGTGCCAGGGGCTTGGCTCTAACGCTACTAAGCTGGAAAATTCAGCTGATGAAATAACTCTCCCGTGATTTCTTTGCAATTTCTTCATTGAACCTTTTATTCTAAATCTTGTAGCATTACCCTGAGTGAGCCAATATCCTGAGCAGGAAACCAAGGCTGAAGAAATATTCAGAATTCCTAGGTAGCAGCATCAAAGTTTTAGTCACCCAAACAAACAGGATTTTTCCCATCCTTAAAAGAGAAACTGGTGCTCAATCAGCTCATTTTCAAAATTACGCACAACCGCTTTAGCAGCCTGGCGCTAGAAACAGAGTGAAATGTACAATCTGGAAACCTCCTCTCTCTGCCGTGCTAGTGCAAACAAGCCCAGGGCCTGAAACAAAGTCAGAGTATTAGCATATTGGCAAGTAGGATCCCTGCGAGGCCGCAATTGCCAGGAAGCCTGGGAGCTGGGTGGTGCTGATGAAACTGGATAACCTCTGGAGAGTAGGACATTGCCACATTTGAAAGCACCTGCTGACCCTGGAACATCCCAGAAAGCCTGTGCTCCCAAACAGAGAAGAGAGAAAAGTTGTTCCTTGGGAAGATATCCTAATATCGCTCCCTCACAGCTCCATCTAAAAGCATCCTTGGTTTTTTTTTTTAAAAAGTCCACAAAACTTACTAACCTGCCAGCATCTGTGCTAGCCTGCTGGGGGCTGGCAGAGGCAGAAACAGAGAGCTCTGATTCTCCGCAACAACCTTCAGCATTCCTACACGGTTGCAAACAAGGGAGTTTCTCTCCTCTAATAGTTCACGTGCTTCTAAGGGGAGGGACAGAGTACTTGATCCCTCCTTTTCCTTCACTCAACATGCATGCAATTCCTTGTTGCCCATGGCTGTGAGACTAACGCTTAAACACAAGGCTTTGCCCTGACTTGAGGAAAGCTTCCTGCAGCACAATTAAGCAGGGTTTTCTCTCCAAACTCACCCGATGGATTGATTCTTGTGTCTGGCCTGGAGAGTCAAGCCTCAAGGTACACTGGCAGGAACTAGAAATGAGTGGACTGCATCGTGTAAGTTTTATGGAAAGGAAAAGGCACGGCCAAGCTAAGGGGAGGATATCAGCGGGCGCATTTTGCACCTGGCTATTGGCCACTTCTGATCAAGTGAAGATGCCTGGATTAAAGGATGGCACCTAACATCTCTATCACCTGGAGGTGCATGCTTGGGGATCCTTGACTGTTTTCACACCCTATCAACACATCCTGCAGAATTCTGTTACACCGTATTTACTGAAATCTAATGTACACCTTTTTTGGCCAAATTACGTTGCAAAAATTAAGGTGTGCATTAGAATCAATGGCACATTGACATTCGCCAGCAAATACTTTTTTTGGTTTCAAGGTTCTGAAAATTGAGGTGCGCATTAAATTTGATGGTGCATTAGACTCGAGTAAATGCAGTATTTTATCTGCACCATCAGAATGAATCTCAGGAACCAAAAAATCATATTGAAAAATATGACTCTAAAGCTGTCTGGCCCCAAAATGGCAACTAGGCATTCCTTTTTGGCGACTGTAACCCTGGTTAAAGGAGCCATTTAGTGCCCAGTTTATATATCAGTTTCTAACACTGGTTGGTGGCCACTGCTACTTTTTGTGGATGCTAATTCCACAGTTTATGCGCTACTTTATCTGTCTTTTATTTTGTCTGTCCAACATTCAGCTTCACTGGATGGCCCAGAGATCAAAGTATTATACGAGAAGGGGGGGGGGACTTCTCCCTTTCCATCAGTTGAGAAACAGCCTGATCCATTGCCTTGGCTGGCATTGGAATCCTGCTTCCCATTCCTCTGAAAAACGTATCTGCTTCTAACTAGCCCACCCACAACTTAAGCTGGATGAACTGGTCTGTCAAACTCTTGAATGGCTCATTGTAAAGGTGATTCACAGAGGTTCTAGTTCCTAAATACTACCGTACTCTAAAGTTCATTTTTAAAAGAACAATTTCCCCTACCTTATAATTTAAGGCATTTTCAGGATGGCTCACAAACAAAACCTAGGTGAACAAGAGAGAGCATTGTGAAAAACGGCAGCAAAATCATTAATAAGACCTTAAAGCAGCAGAACTGACTATGGAGCATTAAAAGCCTTGGAGAATGGAGGGATGAACAGCCCTGGCCTTTAAACAGCAAGGCGCCAGGAGAAGGGCCTGAAAAGACCATCTCAAACCAACAAGCAAATTTATGTTGGAGTGGGTGATCCTTCAAGACAACCAGGTCTCAAACCCATGTATAAAGCAGTGATGTAGAAGGGAGTCGCGCAAACCCTGAGGATCACAGCTCAACAGGTTTTGGCATCAGAACCTCCTTTTCCCAAGGGGCAGGGTGCTATGTCTCAAGCACAGCATGGGATGGGATATGGCGGGGGGGGGGAGATATATGCTCGTCTTTTCTGTTTCCAAGCTTCGAGTTATGAAGAGGGGGAAGACAACAAGCCCTCCCTCCTCCCCCAGTAGCTTAGAGCGGGAGAGAGAAGGCAGAGAGTTGCTCTGCCTCTGCCAGGTGCAGTGCACACTCATTTGATACACAACTAAACCACAACAGTTCAGACCTGAAGGGAAAGCAAAGGTATGCCTGGGTCCCACAGGTGTTCCAAGCTTGAAAGCGCTTTGGGTGCAGGGAGAAAGCCACACCTCTCATGCACAACTGCACGCTGAAGGGGGGGGGGATGGAGACACACACACACACACACACACACACACACACACACACGTTGTTAACTTATAAAATGCAGAACAATGTGGAAAAGTCAAATAGGATATGCAACACAAATATATAGGTAGATCACAACCTCCTAACGAATCTGAAATACTCAAAATATCCCAATTATTGAAAATTCAAATACCAACACAAACATCTCGCACTCTGAGGCTATTTTTACAAACCCATGTTCATGCTTACAATGTTTCCTGAAGACAAAACTGTGCAACCACTGCAATGCATTTGTCCAAATGCAATCTTCTGTCTCGTTATCTGACTAATGCTTAATTTCTTGATTGCTCCAAGGTCTCATACTTTCTTTTTTCTTCAACCACAGAATAATATCTGGGACTGCTGCCAATTTCCCTACTTTCAATGTACAAATCTTAGCTACTACTAAGAGAAATGTGCTCTGTACTTTCTTGACAAGACTCCAAATGCCAAAAATGCTTCTGCTTTCGACTATAACTAAATAGTCATTCTTGGGTATTACTTACTATTTCATGCAAACCGGATCATATTTTTAGGAACGTCAACCACATTTCCAGGTATGTGCCCCTCAGACCACACGGTTGTGAGCCACCCCAATCTCCAAGGGAGATTCCAGAAGGTTCCATGTGCTTACCCAGGAATTGGGTTCTGCCCGGACGCTGAGGTCCAGCGCCGAGGGCCTTCTGGCGGTTCCCTCATTGCGAGAAGCAAAGCTACAGGGAACCAGGCAGAGGGCCTTCTCGGTAGTGGCGCCTGCCCTGTGGAACGCCCTTCCAGCAGATGTCAAAGCGATAAATAACTACCTGACATTTAGAAGACATCTTAAGGCAGCCCTGTTCAGGGAAGTTTTTAATCTGTGATATTTTACTGTATCTTTGGTTTCTATGGAAGCCGCCCAGAGTGGCTGGGGAAACCCAGCCAGATGGGCGGGGTACAAATAATAAATTATTATTATTATTATTGATTTCCTCAGAATGAGGGACAGCAGAAACTGTGGTGTCTTTATGATAGACCATGGGTATGCAAACGAAGGCCCGGGGGCCGGATCCAGCCCAATCGCTAATAATAATAATAATAATAATAATTTATACCCCGCCCATCTGGCTGGGTTTCCCCAGCCACTCTGGGTAGCTTCCAACAAAGTATTAAAATACAGTGGTCTGTTAAACATTAAAAGCTTCCCTAAACAGGGCTGCCTTCAGATGTCTTCTAAAAGTCTGGTAGTTCTTTTCTTTGACATCTGGTGGGAGGATGTTCCAAAGGGCGGGTGCCACTACCAAGAAGGCCCTCTGCCTGGTTCCCTTTAACTTGGCTTCTCACAGTGAGGGAACCGCCAGAAGGCCCTCAGCGCTGGACCTCAGTGTTCTAAATCCGGCCAGCGGACGGTCCAGGAATCAGCGTGTTTTTACATGAGTAGAATGTGTCCTTTTATTTAAAATGCATCTCTGGGTTATTTGTGGGGCATAGGAATCCGTTCATCTCCCCCCCCCCCAAAAATATAGTCTGGCCTCCCCACAAGGTCTGAGGGACAGTGGACCGGCCCCCTGCTGAAAAAGTTTGCTGACCCCTGTGATAGATGGTTTATTTACATACACATACACACACACACACACACACACACGCAACTTGAGCTCGCAGCATGAACATCCAAGAACGTATTGCTTCTCCCATAGCCATAGCCTTGGATCCCAGCAGAAATCAAGCATGGTTCTGTCTCCCAGTTGCCCAGCCAGCAGCCTTGCTTCTAGCTCACATAACTCAACTCCCAACTCTGGCGTCTGTCTTTCTTACTACCAGCCATTGAGGGAGGGAGCCCACCCATTTGGTATCCGGCACAGAGACACTTCCTTTGTTACTTTAATGGCCCATACTGAGAGGGCCATTACCTCACCAGGAAGCTACTTCCGCTATTCCAGGGTCCGTGTTGGATCCATGCAGGAATTAGAAGGGAGCTCAGGCATACAGCCTACCCCCACCCAGCTGATAAGGCTATCTTTTCCAGCTGCCACTATGGTTGAGAACCACTGTATTTCCTAAGGGCAAGATACCACCTCAATCCAGTGCTCATGTCTTTCAGAATCAGAACACAGTCTTAACCCCCACATACTACAAAATAGGACTCACTTCCTAACTTACCACATATAACCTCGTTCTTAAGACCTAATATGACCAGATGAAAAGCAAGGAAGTGGTCCCTGCATCTTAACAATTTTTCAGAGAGAGTGTTTTGTTACCTGCAAATCAACAGGCAAAGCTGAGAAGTCATACCTGATGAGTTTCTCTCTTTTTTGTAACTATTAACAGTGTTCATAGTTGAAGCAAGTCGGAGTAAAATGTGCAAAGGTGCATTCTGCTGAATCTTTTGATGTCTCCCCCCTTTCTCTTACAAAAGTTGTTTTATTAATAGTGGTAAGCATTGCTCATGTGGTCCGCTCATTAGTCCTGACCCACTAGTGGAGGCTCAGAAAATTAGGATTACTGTATTTTTCGGCCTATAGGACGCACTTTTCCCCCTCCAAAAATGAAGGGGAAATCTGGGTGCGTCCTATGGGGCGAATGCAGGCTTTTGCTGAAGCTTGGAGAGTGAGAGGGGTCGGTGCGCACCGACCACTCTCGCTCTCCAGGCTTCAGGAAGACATTCCGCAGCCTAGGCAGCCCTGCGGGAGGTCCCGCAGGGCTGTCTAGGCTGTGGATAGCAGCCTGCCGCCCGGCGGGCGGGGCGCCCTGAAGCAGAGCGCCCCGCCCGCCGGACAGACATCCGCAGCGTGGGGAGCCCTGCAGGAGTTCCCCGCAGGGTTCCCCACGCTGCGGATAGCAGCCTGCTGCCCGGCGGGAGGGGGGGCGCTAAAGCAGAGCGCCCCTCGCGCCGGGCATACTTCCGCAGCGTGGGGAGCCCTGCAGGAGTTCCCCGCAGGGCTCCTCACGCTGCGGATAGCAGCCTGCCACCCGGCACGCGGGGCACCCTGAAGCAGAGCGCCCCTCGCGCCGGGCATACATCCGCAGCGTGGGGAGCCCAGCAGGAGTTCAGGGCGCCCCTTGCGCCGGGCAGACATCGGCCAGCCCCACAAGCTCGGGGGACAGCAGGGAGGCGCAGCGCCGCCATCCCGCTGTTCCTCGACCTGGTTCGGTTTTCCCTACCTGCTTTTCCTTTATTTCCCCCCCAAAAAACTAGGTGCATCCTATGGGACGGAGCGTCCTATGGTACGAAAACTACGGTACCTTAAAAGAAACCACTTTTAAGATCACCTTCCTTCCACACCAAGTTCCAACAACAGTATTCAAATATTATAATACAGTGGTACCCCGCAAGACGAACGCCTCGCAAGACGGAAAACCCGCTAGACGAAAGGGTTTTCCGTTTTGGAGGCGCTTCGCAAAACGAATTTCCCTATGGGCTTGCTTCGCAAGACGAAAGCCCATAGGGAAATCTCCGGGGACCTCTTTTAAATGCTAGCGGTGGGGAGCAAAGCCTTTCCCCCCCCCTCCGGCCTTCAGAAGAGGTCCAGGAAGGCTGGCGGGGGCCGAAAGGCTTTGCTCCCCAGCGCCAGCATTTTAAAACCAGTCCGCGATAGCAGGGAAGCGCTTCCCGCTATCCCGGATGGCTTTTGAAGGCAGGAGAGATCCGCGAAGCCTGGGCGTGCTGAGATCAGTGCGCGCAGGCTTCGGGATGCCGGCAACTCTCCCCAAGCAGCGGGAACGTTCCCGCTGCTTGGGGAGAGATCCGCGAAGCCTGGACGCGCTGAGATCAGTGCGCGCAGGCTTCGGGATGCCGGCAACTCTCCCCAAGCAGCGGGAACGTTCCCGCTGCTTGGGGAGAGATCCGCGAAGCCTGGACGCGCTGAGATCAGTGCGCGCAGGCTTCGGGATGCCGGCAACTCTCCCCAAGCAGCGGGAACGTTCCCGCTGCTTGGGGAGAGATCCGCGAAGCCTGGACGCGCTGAGATCATTGCGCGCAGGCTTCGGGATGCCAGCAACTCTCCCCAAGCAGCGGGAACGTTCCCGCTGCTTGGGGAGAGATCCGCGAAGCCTGGACGCGCTGAGATCAGTGCGCGCAGGCTTCGGGATGCCGGCAACTCTCCCCAAGTCGCGGGAACGTTCCCGCTGCTTGGGGAGAGATCCGCGAAGCCTGGACGCGCTGAGATCAGTGCGCGCAGGCTTCGGGATGCCGGCAACTCTCCCCAAGCAGCGGGAACGTTCCCGCTGCTTGGGGAGAGATCCGCGAAGCCTGGACGCGCTGAGATCAGTGCGCGCAGGCTTCGGGATGCCGGCAACTCTCCCCAAGCCGCGGGAACGTTCCCGCTGCTTG